TGTGTGTGTGTGTGTGTGTGTGCTGAAGGGATGTTTGCACATGGCTATTTTCTGTAATATGTCATTGTATAACTTGCTCGGACTAAACCGTAAACCCTGATCGTGGACTAGACGTGTGGTGATGTCTTCTGGGAATGTAGTTGAGGCTGTAGGGAGGGGCGGAGAGAAGCCCTTCGTTTTCAAGAACATCCTGTCCAGTAGCTAATCAGTACGGAGGCGTGTGTGGGAAGAGTTCAGAAAGGGCGCACTGAAGAGGGAGAGAAAGCGAGTGTGGTAGAATCAGGAGCCGCGAGTGTGTTGTGTGCGTGAGTCACCAGGAGTGGGCGGTAGGACGGAGACGAAGGCCCCTCACCCACACTGCAGTGTGCTGTACTGTAAGTGGTCCGAGATGTGAGAGACCTATTAGCAGTTGCTCAGAATCACCAACAGTCAATTGCTATGAATATGATGCAAGGTGAATTATATGTTGAAAGGGTTGTGCTACATTAAAAATCTAAAGCAAAAGATCGAGGTCAAGAAGCTGAGGGTCAGGTAGATGGATCCCTGCAGGTTAGGGCTTTTTCAAAACTCTTAGCACTGTTAAGTTTGGCTCATCCTTTCCCCCACTGTTTGTGCTATGGAGAACAATAAAACCTCAGATCATGCAATAAGGATATGTGGTATTACTTTTTCCATCAGTTGATGGTGTCGTAATTTTCATAAGAATAATACAAAGGCAAAAAAATCCCATTGACTTGCATTGTTGGAGGGACCCAAACCATATCTAGAGACCACAGTATCATAGATACTTTTGGTGAGGCTTAATTCATTTGTAAGCAATTAGTTGACAGTCAGAACAGCAATTACTTGACAGTCACCCTAAGAGCACACCATAATCCACTCAGAACACCCTGATAACACACAGAAAACCACTCAGAACACCCTAACAACTCACCGAAAACCACTCACAACACCCTGACAGCACACCGAAAACCACTCACAACACCCTGACAGCACACCGAAAACCACTCACAACACCTAACAACACACCAAAGACCACTCACAACACCCTGAAAACACACCAAAAACTACTCACAAACACCCTGACAACACCGAAAACCAGTCAGAACACCCTAACAACTCACCAAAAACCCCTGACACCACACCAAAAACCAGTCAGAACACCCTAACAACACACCAAAGACCACTCACAACACCCTGACAACACACCAAAGACCACTCACAACACCCTGACAACACACCAAAAACCAGTCAGAACACCCTGACAACACACCGATAACCAGTCAGAACACCCTGACAACACACCGATAACCAGTCAGAACACCCTGACAACACACCGATAACCAGTCAGAACACCCTGACAACACACCGATAACCAGTCAGAACACCCTGACAACACACCGATAACCAGTCAGAACACCCTGACAACACACCGATAACCAGTCAGAACACCCTGACAACACACCGATAACCAGTCAGAACACCCTGACAACACACCGATAACCAGTCAGAACACCCTGACAACACACCGATAACCAGTCAGAACACCCTGACAACACACCGATAACCAGTCAGAACACCCTGACAACACACCGATAACCAGTCAGAACACCCTGACAACACACCGATAACCAGTCAGAACACCCTGACAACACACCGATAACCAGTCAGAACACCCTGACAACACACCGATAACCAGTCAGAACACCCTGACAACACAACGAAAACCAGTCAGAACACCCTAACACACCAAAAACCACTCACAACACCCTGACAACACACCGAAAATCAGTCAAAAGACCCTGACAACACACCGAAAACAGTCAGAACACCCTAACAACACTTAAAAAACCAGTCAGAACACCCTAACAACACACCGAAAACCATTTAAAACCCCGACAACACTCCGAAAATCAGTCAGAACACCCTGACAACACACCGAAATCAGTCAGAACACCCTGACTATCACACCGAAATCCACGCAGAACACCCTAACGACACAACAAAATCCACATAGAACTCCCCGACAATGCACTGAAAACAACTCGCAAAACCCTAACAGTACACTCCCAGCAATCTAAGGGCCCGATCAGACAGAACACGTTTTTTTGCAGTGAGAGGCGCCTTTTTTGAGTTGATTTCTGTTGGCAGTGAGGGTTTTGTGCGCTGTTTATGCACCCCAGGCGCCTCTTTTTGGAGGAGCACTCAGTGCCTGAAGTTGAAAAAAAAAATCAACTCTTGAGTGGAGAAGCGCCCGACGTCATTCGCGTTTTTTTTTTTCCATTGTCCAATTGAAGGAATGGAGAGGAGGGCCTTCTGTTGTGGTGACGAACGTTTACCGTTGCCTAGAAAGTCCGGAGACTACAATGAGAAAAACTTTTGGTGTCTGTCGCAGGTTACCCGGAGCTGTATTTTTTTAAGGTTTTTGCTAATATGACCGTTTACTTAACAACCAAAAACAAAGATTTTAGAGCGCTGGCTCTATAATCCTTTGATTAGACTGACAGAACAGCTGATTTGGTGGTTGCCTAGCAACATAAAAACCGCAGCGGCACTTCTCTTTTTTTTAAAGTCACCAAAAAAAAGAGGCAGTGTGTTGTGCCTCTCGTTTTCAAACCTAAAAAATGCATTCGTTCTGATCAGGGCCTAAAACAACTTTGCTATAACTAAAACCCAGACAGAACACCCTTACAACCACCCAGAACCATTATAGCAGTACCCTATAAACCACTTAAAACACCCTAGCAACACATTAAAACACTCGGAACACCTTTGCAACACAAAAAAACATCTAGAACACCCTAGCAACAAATTCAAAACACCTTAGCAAGTCACTAAAAAAAACACACTATAAACCACTTAGAATACCCTAGCAACAACCCAGAACAACAACCTACTGAGAACCACTCATATTGAACCAACCATATTGAAACACCTTGGCAACCACTCAAATTGTGTTCTGAAAGTGTAAAAATCTAGTCACGATTTTGAAGTAGTAACAATAACTGTAGTAACTCTGGTGTTTTGGCAGAAACTACAGTTACCATGGTATTTTTATTTTTTTTAATGAGCAAGTGTAGTGGTGTAAAATGCACAGAGGACATTTGGCATCTCTCTCTCTCTCTCTCTCTCCCTCATTCACTCACTCAGATACATTTTAGCACACCATATATGGTCAAAACTTTTCCAATGCATCCTAAACTATCTCTGGTGCTTTTTCCTTGCTTGTAGGGTAAGGACTTGTTAACCCAGAAGATCCCAGTGTGGCAGCAGGCCTGTTCAGACCCCAACAAGCTGCCCGACAGGGCCATGCTGCTCGCCCAGCAGATGAGTTCTGGATCTGGCACCCTTCTCTCCAGCCCTCTGCACTCCTCCAAGGGAAACCTGGTCATCTCAGATCCCATTCCTGGAGCACAACCACTGCCTGTGCCCCCCGAACTAGCTGCCTTCATGGGAAGTGGCCTGGGCCATCAGGGGGTTAGTAGGGAACATTTGCCTTCTGTTTTACAAGGATTTATTGTTGATCAGAATATACAAAACAGCATTTCAAGCGTCTCATGTCTTAATGTGAAAAAGTAAACGTTCATTTGCATACTGCAGCTTTAACTGAGCGTAGGATGTTTCAACCTCTTTAAAACTCATTTCTGCAGGCAGTGCTTTAGTTGAGTGGCCCCTCACTAGAGCAGAAGGCTCACACAATGTTAATACAATAACTGAGCCTCCACAGCCATAATGCACTCTCTCTATTGGCGCTGCTGCTGGAGTGATACTCGTATATAACAGAGCTTGTTTAGAAGTCTGACCTCGTCTGCTGGTTTAAAGGGGTCATGACATGAATGTTTTTATTATTTTAATATGTTCCCTGAGGTTCAGTTCTAATGTTAATAAGGTGTTTGCGCATATAAACCCTCAATCTTGGCCCTCTGTTCAAAATATCTGTTTTTAAGGGCTTCTTCCTTAAAGGAGTAGTTCACCCAAAACTGAAAAATCTGCTGAAAATTGTTCACCCTCAGGTCATCCAAAATGTAGATGATGTTGAATCAGATTTGGAGAAATTTAGCCGTAATATCACTTGCTCACCAGTGGATACTCTGCAGTGAATGGGTGCCGTCAGAATAAGAGTCCAAACAGCTGATAAAAACATCACAGTAATCCTCAAATACAATCCAACAAGAGTCCAATCCATCAATTAACATCTTGTGAAAAGCTGCGTGTTTGTAAGAAACTGGCCCTCTGTTCAAAATATCTGTTTTTAAGGGCTTCTTCCTTAAAGGAGTAGTTCACCCAAAACTGAAAAATCTGCTGAAAATTGTTCACCCTCAGGTCATCCAAAATGTAGATGATGTTGAATCAGATTTGGAGAAATTTAGCCGTAATATCACTTGCTCACCAGTGGATACTCTGCAGTGAATGGGTGCCGTCAGAATAAGAGTCCAAACAGCTGATAAAAACATCACCGTAATCCTCAAATACAATCCAACAAGAGTCCAATCCATCAATTAACATCTTGTGAAAAGCTGCGTGTTTGTAAGAAAGAAATCCATCAGTACATTCAAACTGTGGATGGACTTTTTCACTGGAGAAAGCAATATTATGGATTATGAACTCGTATTTTATGTGACACTTTAAAGTTAAAATGCCTTAATGATGAATTTGTTCATTACAAACAGCTTTTCACTTCACAAGCCATTAATTGATATTCTTACTGGTGGTTGTGTGGATTACTTGTGGATTATTGTAATGTTTTTATCAGCTGTGTGGACTCTCATTCTGACGGCACCCATTCACTGCAGAGTATCCATCGGTGAGCAAGTGATGTAATGCTAAATTTCTCCAAATCAGTTCTGATGAAGAAACAAAATCATCTATACCTTGGATGGCCTGAGAGTGAGTACGAAATTATTCTTCTGTCAAAGTGAATGTTCTTCTACTCTTCCATTTGTCCTGTTGTCAGGAGTAGCTCCCTCGCATACACTGTAATGTCAGTAATTGAACGAAATTCCCTGGCTAAAAAAATCCAGACTTCTGTGTGTGTCTGGCATTGCTTATTTGGTGATCTATATGCTTGCAGCGGCTAATGGGTCCTGATGGCATGTCCCTGGTGAACGGGACAACGGGGGTCCATGGAGATGACTACTGGACGGAGGGCGGGGTCTCTCAGGGAAGACCACCCTCTCCACAGAATCAGTCTCAAACACAGAGCCAGCCCCAGAGACAGGTCAGCGACGTCTATTCTAACACCCTGCCCGTCCGCAGGCCCCAGCCTGCTAAAAACAAGACCACTGTGGGTAAGAGAGACCAACCCTTCTGCATATTACCTTTGAGCAAATGGGTGTTTTTGAGCCATAAAGTGCTTTTTGATCTTCTGGGCTTTCGTTTTTCATCCCCAGAACAGGGTTATTATCGCTAACTAAATTAAAAACTAAACTAAAACCACTAAACTAAAACCACTAAAACCAAAGTATTATGTATTATTACTTATTTATTATTTAAGTTAGTTGCCAAGGCAATCGTTTTCATTTAGTTGAAAGTTGAAATACTAATATTACTAAAACCAAAATATAAATTGATAAAAACTATATAGATAATATAGTTAAAAAATAAGTTAAAAGAAAAATAATTAAATGACAAAAACGCAGCAAAATTACTGCAGCTTTAACAAAATGGAAAAAGAAAAATGGGAAAAAAATGGTTAGATGTTAGATTTGAGGTTGGATGGCTAAAATATGTTCAAAATGTTTGACAGCTCATCTTAATACCTCATGGGACATGCAAATTGTATAAATAAATTAAGAGTCAGTAAGTTAATTGTTAAAATTGATTTAATTTAGTTAATTCAGTGTAAACGAGTGTTTTAGTTATTATTGTTATTATTGTATATTATTATTATTATTATTATTATTTGAATCTTCTCTAGGAGAGACACGGACTCTGCCCAGGTCAAGTTCCATGGCGGCTGGTCTGGAGAAGAACGGACGTTCTCGTGTACAGGCCATTTTCTCCCACGCGGCCGGAGACAACAGCACCCTTCTGAGCTTCACTGAGGGAGACATCATCACCCTGCTGGTGCCAGAGGCTCGGGACGGCTGGCACTATGGGGAGAATGAGAAAAACAAGATGTAAGCATTCAATGATGTATACATTAACAACAGAACTTACTTACAGAACTGGGGGGAAAATCTATTTAGTAATGCAAAATATTTTGAAAATCAGAGGAAAATGAATGAGTACTGAACGTCTTTAATGAATCCATGCCATTGCTAGGATTTCTGGGTCCCTTGTCCTGTCCATTTCAGATTATTCTCCTGAGATAAAAACCATAGAAATCTCCCATGTGTCTCCTCTAGAGTTTCAAAAGAGATCTCAAACTGTGTTGATATTTGCTAAGATGCCAAATCATAGTCACATTTAATATGAACTCAATATGAACATATCGCACCAAATTCTCTCATTCTATCTACGTTACTTTTTGTTTAATATAAATGTAATTCTATACTCTTACTATATATGAACAATTATCTTTTCTTTTTTTTTTCGTTTTCATTTCTCCTGAGGAAAAAAATCTGAAACTAAATACATTTTTGATGGAAACAAGCTGACAACCCCATTGAATCCTACACTACACTACCCATAATCCTAGAGAGACTGCCTACTTGGATCAGTCACTGTTTCCATGGAAATGAGAACTGCACCAAAAGAGCTTAGCAGCGCCTGCCAGCTCCCATGAGACATATTTCCCTACACCCTTTAACTACTTGTAAATTTGCATACATACAATTTTTTTGCAATAAACAAAGACTTACAGTATAGTTAATATGTGCACAGTGAGTCCTCTCCAGACAGCGATTTCAGCAGAGATAAATTTGATTACGAGAGTGTTTTACTCAGGAGAGTAGTCTGAGAGGAATGATACTCTGTTTGCTCCCCATTTAATCTATTTTCTATTTAGAAGACGAGTATTTCTAAATAAACTGAGATATTAAACTTTGGCGTATTCTTCGTACACTGGGTTTTAACCATTGTCATGGATGTGGAGTTTCTAAAGAAATGCTTTTTCATTTCAGGCGTGGCTGGTTTCCTTTTTCCTACACTCGAGTGCTGCCTGACAGTGACAGCGAGAAGTTAAGAGTCAAGTAAGTACCCTGAAACACTCTTTACACTTGGCATTAACATGCATTTTCAATGATTGGATCACTCGTGGACAGATTTTGACCACATCCGATGAAGGTGAAAATGCAAATGCATTTTAGTTATCAGCTATGTAGGAATATATGATGAGGTTATACTGAAAATTATGATATACTTCACTTTGCCTAAGTGTGGGCCGCAGGTTCTGGGCTTTTCTTTTTCTTCTCTGGTGATTTGAAAGACAGCAGATATTGTGCTCTTGCGCTTAGATTAAATCACTTGATTTAATCAAAAGTATCTGGTTATTAATCAAATTATTTCACTGGATTATGGTTGGAGTGCTCATTTCTTTTCTTCCCGTTTCTTCACTTCTAACATCCTTTATTGAGGAGTTCATAATTCAATAAAAAAAGGAAACACATAAAATGACTTAAAACATTTTGTTAACACAACCGATTCAGTTAACACAACCTCAAATGCAAAACACACATGGTTTTGAAAAGGCTGCATTTATTTGATCAAAAATACAGTAAAAACTGTAATATTGTGAAATATTACCATTTAAAATGTTTTCGGTCACACGGTCCTTTCAGAAATCATTCTAATATGCGGATTTGTTGCTCAGAAAACATTTCTTATTATTACCAGTGCTGAAAAGAGTTATGCAGCTTAATATTATGTGCCATTATTAATGTTTTTTTTTATTTTTTTTTTTATTTTTTGATTTTAATCTTTGATGAATAGAAAGTTCAGCAGCATTTACTTGAAATATAACTATTAACAAATTAATGTAATGATCAATTTAATGCATCCTTGCTGAATTATTGAAAGAAAAAAAATTCTTACAGATCACCGCTTTTGAGCAGTAGTGGGTGGAAGTAGATATTTGCATTTGCATCTCTATCTGATCACACTGGAGATGCATTGGAATAAATTCAATACGGCGAAAAACTAGCCAGATACAAAACACATGTTAATGGCAGGTGTAAAGATGACTGATTGACTGACCCTTCATCCTGTAGTCTTCACCATGGGAAGAGCAGCAGCACAGGAAACCTGCTGGAGAGAGAGGACATGTCCTTGCCTATGCCTGACTATGGTCTGACTGCCCGACTGTTGGCACAGAGCCTAACACAGACTCGACCACGTCCCTACAGCATGGCAGGCTTCGCACAGGTACACACACACATATTAGCATTAGACAGGAATCTCTCACTAATGTCTCCTTTCTTGGGATTTTTTCTCTTTCAACTGCTCAAAGCTTAATCTATGCGTCAGCTCTTCTTTAATCTGCTCTGTAAAGATTACTGCATGGGGGTTTCTCTTAACATGCATGATTTTCGTATTAAATGGATAGTTCAGCCTAAAATGAAATTTCTGTTATCATTTACTCACTTTCGTGTTGTTTCAAACGCATATGACTTTCTTCTGTGGAACGCAAAAGCTGTTTTCAGAAGCTTCACTTTTTCACTACAGTGAAAGCTTGTTGCCCAGGGGCAAAAAAAAATTTAAAAAAAAATCATACAAATATTTATTCACTGCCGATTCTAGCTGAAATGAGCATTAGTGGCAGTAAAACACCAACAGCTTGTATTCCCTTTTCCATAAATTGTGATTACCGGGGCAGATTATTGATAAATATAGACTTATTGTGCAGTTCCTTTATGACCTTAAAACACTTTTACTATAGTTCATGATTTGTAAACTAATACATTTTGATGTTTGCATCACATAACCAGCTCCATATGTATGGCTTTTCTGACTAATAAACTTGCTCGGTAGCTCACCTGGTACATCAGTGCACTTGCCATGTGGATAGTTTTGTTACGAGTCCAGTGAAACAAGAGTCACAATAAGAGTCCAAAGCCTTGTAGAAGCAAGATAAAATGGCAATGTTACTCCAGCAAATGTGTTTTTACCCCCATGTTTGCTTTTTGTTAACAGTATCAATTAGGTTTAGAGTAGGGTTTAGGTGGTACATTATTTTCCAAACGAGACCGAGCATAAACTCATTGTACATTTAATTTCCCAATTGCCATGATATGTACAACAACCAAGTAAAAGCATTGCCAGATTCAAATAAAACTGAATGCACGTAGCACCACTCACTGGACATTTTACTATTACATTTTTGCGGTACGTGCAAGAAGCAACATCGTATCAATTAGCAGAAACGAGTGGATTTCTGCCCGGATTGGATTTTTTTAATGGTTTTGTAATTTAAAAACAATGCACAAAACTATTGTATGGCTTCAAAAGAGTTGAACTGCCCCCCTTTAATGGTGGTCTTTGTTTATTTTGAAAGCATATCAGCCCCTGATTACATTCTGGTGTCACTGTAGGAAAATAGAATTGAAACATTTCAAACATTATTCCATTTGGAGCGATATGAGAGTGAGTAAATAGTGACAGGGTTAGTGTTTTGTATGAACTGTCCCTTTAATACACTGTGTTGGTGCACCCTTGGATATTTTCCCTCTTAAGCTGGAAATAAGCTTCTAAGCAGCACTGAAATGTTGTTTTTACGAATTCCAGCCAGCGCTAGAGGATTATGACAGTCAGTTTGCCACAAGGTAAGATCGGCTCTTAATGAACAGAAATGACAACACTTAATAATGAATCAGTTTTATGAATTTATCCCAAAATGCCAAAACTGTACTGCTAAGTATACCTCTGTTAGTGAATAGTAGTTAATATCTGTGTTTTTTCCCTTTCTTAGCTCTTGCTTGCTTATGCTAAATGTGCAATGTAGTGCTGATATTTGTTGGGAGACCAACCCTGTTTTATCAGAGAATTGTAAATGGTTTGACGAGAAGGTTGTGTGTCTGTCTGTTTTCGTGAGTGGAGCGAATGAGCTGTTGGATTGCGAGATGCATCGTTGTTGACCACACTGTAAGCTCATTGTGTGTGTGATCCATTAAGGTCAGGATCAGAGCTGCTCATAGTCTGTGTACCTTGAACTCATTGTCTCTAGAAGCCTCTAGTTGAGATGCAGTTCACTTACAATAATGTTTCAGGTTCAGCACATTTGAAAGTATATATGGAGAGCAGACAATAGCTTCATATCAACCCGTCAGTTTATAAAAAACTGTGTACAGTAATGCACTTACAATGAAAATGTGTTAATTACAAGGGTTTAAACATAGAAATGTGAAGCTTGTGCTTTCTTTCAAGCAGATAAATTAAATTAAAGCGAAATTGTGTGCATCTTCGGTTTTGCAGTGAGAGTACTATTTCAAATGCATTATCCGTGTTACTCCTGTTGACATATTTGTCTCTATTCAACAGTCTTTTCAGGTAGCGGAATTTACTAGGTTTAATGTTTGTTTTTTCATGTTCATAAGTTTTTTTTTGTTTTTTTGAAGGAATGAATACCATCATTCAGCAGGTACACATTAAATTGATCAAAAGTGACTGTAATGGGATTTATAATGTTTTATAAAAATGTTTTACAAATAATAATTTATAAAGATTTCCATTTCAGATAAATGCATTTTTTTAAACTTCTTTGATGAAAGATGCTGTAATATATATTATCGTTTTCATTAATATGCAGATTTGCTGGCAATTTTTTTAGAGTGATTTCTGAAGGATCATGTGACACGATACTTGAATAATGGCTGCTGAAAATTCAGCTTTGCAAGACGGGAATAAATTATATTCTGAAATATATTTAAATAGAAAACAATTATTTAAAATTGTAATAATATTTCACAATATTCCTGTTGGTACTGTATTTTTGCTTAAATAAATGCAGCCCTGGTGAGCATAAGAGACCTTTCAAAAACATTTTATGATTAAAAAATCAGAACAGACCCCAAATTTTTAAACGGCAGTGTGTTACTATAACTTTGCATCGACAAAATTATTATGAGATTGTATCACGTAATGTTTCTATATTTTTGTGAAAGTATGTGTGAACTGTAATGTCCTGCCTCGTAAATGTCAGTTGTAAGTGCATTACTGTGAACCTGATTTAAGGAACAACTCGAAAGATTTATATTGTAGATTGTATTTAAGCCGGATTATTTCTAGATAGCTTTAAGATACATCTTTACCTGACCTTTTACCAATTTTGATCCTGTCTTTTCAATTTGATCGTTGTCAATTGAAAAGGGCACTTTAATGTCTCATGGCACATTCAGTAGCTGTGTAGTTTGATGTTAGACAGGATGAGGAATAAGCCCCCTTACAGCCTTCACTCCTGCTCATTTGTGGCTGTCTTGTCTTTTCTTCGTTTCTCTCTGAATGTGTCCGACCTGGCAAGCTTCCTTCTCTCTTTGTTCCACAGTTCCGATGGCAAATTGATTTCGACAGTGTGAACACAGACAGACTATCAGACACAGATCCGGATAGCACAGGGGCCACGCCCCTACTTCCCTTAGCCCCTCCCCTTTTAAGCTCTGCCTCCACACACCTCCTCCTCCAATGGAAGGGGCCAGTCTCATCCCTCCTTTCTGTCCTCTCTTCCTCCCTGCGTCTTGCCGGGGTGATAGTGGTGGTCGCGTGTGGTGGGTCGGGGGGGAACTCTGAGAAGAACGACCGGAACGCAGTCCAACTGCTCGCCTCGCTGCTTTACGGACTCTGATTCGCCTGTAGTGACGCCGCTATGACATCGCTGTGGACTCCAAAGAGACTGCTTACCACTTCCCGTCTTTCATGCATGAGCACAAGTTTTGCTATATGGTTGTTTTTTTAAAATGACATCCTCATGTAAAAGTGCCAAAAGAAAAGCTAATTTGGTCTTTTGGAGCAGCTCTCCTCATTCCGAAGCTCTTGCTGAGTGTTTTTCTAAGCAGATGTAATGGGAGCCTCATGCCAAATGAGGAATGTTTTTTGGTTTTTTTTGTTCTTCTTTGTGGTTTAGCTGTGCAGAGTGTACTCTCTCTCTCTCTCTCTCTGTGTTTTTGAAGAGCATTTGCATTTTGTGAATCCCTCATGTATTACCTGGTGCTCCTCTGGTCCAGAGGCTGTGTCGCTTTGTGCCGCAACAAGCTTAGATTTTCCTCCGATTCACCCACGAAATTGGAATGATTGGAAGGAAAATAAAAATTTTCCCTCATTAAATAAGTGCCAAATGAGAGTGGACCTATGAAACTGGAGTGAAGGTCGCATGAGCTTCAAAATCCTCGGGTGGGACTGTGCTGTTCGTCCAGACCAGCACGTGTCCACTCACCCTACATGCATGAAAGAAAAGTGCTCTGAGCAGAAACCTTTTCCCCCCAAAAAAATCCCGTTATCCTGTCTCAGACACCTTGAAGTATGGGGTCAGAATAGTATCAAAATTAATATTTTGACGGTATGATTTTACAAATGTGTGACATAATTCACAAAATTTGTTTCAAATATTCCTTTGAACGGTGTATTCACAAATGTTTAAACTCGTGAACTGATGGATAACATTGAATGTATTATTTTCTGAGAGGTTTTGAGCGAAAAATAAATTTTGGCAAAAATACTAAAATTCACTTTTTTGGTAAAATAGTGCTTGAGAGGTTTTGATTCAAAAATACATTTTGCCGAAAAATACCAAAATTAACTTTTTGGTAAAATAGTGATTGAAATGGCAAAATGTATTAGATTTTTTATTTATTTTTCACCAAGTACATCCTCTTTAGTCAATCAAGTGAGAGTTGGAGATCAATGCATTGGACAACACTGAAATGAAATGCAATGTGAAAGGGCCTTAGGCACCATTCACTCAAAAATGAAATGACTGTCATCATTAACTCACCCTCACGTTGTTCCAGATCCTTTGCTTTGGTTTATCTTTGAAACACACATTAAAGGGTTAGTTCACCCAAAAATGAAAATTAGCTTGTGTTTTACTTACCCTCAAAGCATCCTAGGTGTATATGACTTTCTTCTTTCAGACGAATCCAGTCAGAGTTATATTAAAAATTGTCCTGGCTATTTCAAACTCTATCATTGCAGTCAGCGGGTGTTGCAGTTGAACAGTCCACAAGTCGTCAAATAAAGCTTGCGCATTCATAATAAAACATGACGCAGACGGCTCCGGGGGATGAATGAAGGCCCCCTATAGTGAATCCATGAGTTTTTGTAAGAAAAATATCCATATTTCAAACGTAATAAACACTTTTCTCTCACTTCCGTTATCTGTCATACGCGGCAGTAAAGAAAGTCATGTACACCTAGGATGCTTCGAGGGTGAGTAAAACACAAGCTAATTTTCATTTTTGGGTGAACTAACCCTCTAAGATCATTTTAATGAATCCTGAGAGGTTTCTGTCCTTCCAGGTAACAAAAAAAAACTTATGGGTTTGAGCAACATGAAGGTGAGTTAACAATGACAGAATTTTCATTTTTGAGTGAACTATCTATTTAAATTATGCCTTTGTGAATATATGAATTTTATTTTGTGAATATCAATCAGGTTACACATTTATGTATCATATCATATGTGAATATATTAATTTTAGCCTATTCTGAGCCCATACAGAAGTGCCACCAGCCCATGTCTCTAAAACATTCCCGTTGTAGTATGTTTTCATGCAGTTTTAGGATGTTGACTGACAGATCCTCTGGATCTGTGGTGTAGTCCTCGCTGTGTTGATGTTCTTTTGTTTCTTCTTCTTTCTTTTTTTTTTCTTGGAAAATAAGACAAACTAGGAAAAATGCACAAGAAATCAGTGTAACAATCACAATATGCATGCTGAGGAGGAACATAGTGAACATTGACCTTGAATGTATGGTGACTTTTTACGAAAGGAATAAATAAATATCTATATATTAATAAAACATTTATTCAAATGAGCTTCTGATGATTTTTAACTTTGTCATCTTGAATTTACAAGTATTTGCATTGAGCTTCAATGGGTGCCGTGCAGCTAACTCAGCAGAAAAGACCTTTATTGCGATATCCATCATATTTCATGATGTTATTTACTGATATATTATTTTATCAAATCTATACATTTAAAATAAACCAAATATATATGGCATGAGCAATTTTGGGCCATTAATGGTTAATATTATTCAGTTTTTTTTTGGCTTTTTCACTTTGCACCCACATACCAACAAGATATGCTCAACTGGGTCGTCCACAAATAAAATGTCATCTTTTGAGACCAACTATTAACCAACATTGCACGAACCTGAAGAGCACACCGTTCTAATCTAGCATAACGTTTGTGTACTTGTGATTCATGACGTCATGTCTGTATGAATATGTGACCGTGTGTGTTTTTCGGTGTCTGTGCTTGCCTGCTCGCCTTTTTTCTTCTTATCTTCTAAGATCTGATCTATTTGAGATGTATAAGACATGTCAGTTTTTTATAAGCATGCATCTTATATGAAGAACTGTGAAGGATTTGATATTGAAATGTGCTCTTCAACAGTTCATTGTTTTCCATACACATCTCTTTACTAATTGGACCTCCTAACCAAACTGCTATGGGCAGACCTTTCATTTTGCACTATATTTTGAACCCATGCCATTTCTAGAAGTGTGTTATTGACTCATCTACAAACATAAGACTGTGACGTCATCCATGAGCAGTCCAAAAAAAAAAGCACCATGTCACAGAGCAAGTAACCTACTGTACGGCCATTGTACGCAACACTAACAGTCATGTGAATGCGGTGGAAATGTAGCCATGCATAACCTCGGTCTGAGCTGAGATCTCAGGTACAAACCCCTGGACTCTCTTTACTTTCCAGTTTGGGTCCTGAATTGTCCCGGTTCTGAGTGTTGCAGGACCTCCGTAAGTCACCTGCCTCCATCGCTGCTCAGCCAAACCAATCATGCCCTTTCTTTTATTCTTTTAATTTTGGTTTCGTTTTCGACTCTCATTCGCTGTGCGGCTTAAACGGACAGTAGGACAGCTTCACAACTGTTTCGTCTCATGCCGCCACCTGCCTCTCTGGTTGGTCTTTGGCTTTTTGTGTGTGAGCTGTTGTTCATACCAGCCAGAGAGGTCATAGGTTGCCAGGAAATGGTGTTGGCGCTGGAGGTAACCCCGAATCTAACTCTTGCATGCATCTATCAATGCTGACAGAAGTAACTATGTCTTGTTCCATTTGCATGCCTGCTCCAAACACCCTTCATAGACTCTTCTCCAGATACCTGTTCATAAGTATATGTCAAATGAATCACTGTATGCCTTTCAGCAGTACCTTTCTTCTGTATCCCAAATCAAAGTGGAGTAGAGCTGTTTATGTGTCATAGAGTTCAGTGGGTCACTAGCGCGGGCCGTGTTGTGGGCGTACTGACCGTGTTTGTTCTCCACCCCCTCTCCATCTAGTGACCGTTCCCTGGAGGTCTACCTCAGGCCAAGCATCATGGACGACCGATCCGCTCCTCTCTACTACTAGAGGGGCCTTGCAGTGGCCTGTGCACTGTCGCCCTCTTCTGTTCTGTCTGTGTCATTGCAGCAGCATGCGGAGGCAGAGCACATGCATTTACCCACAGGGCACGGAGGATAGAGCTGGTTATGTTCTTAAAGGATTAGAATAAGGATCTTAACTCTGTAGCTATATAATTAACGGTATTTGTATCCACCGATTCACGTATTTCAAAAGTTAACCGCTTTTCTAAATGGTGTTCTTCGTTAACAAATCAGGCACAACCGAAATGACAGTGTGCTTTTTTTTTTTCTTTTTTGGAGGGAAAGTGTAAGCCTGATTGTTTAAACATGAGATCTTTTATTTGAATGAATGTGAAAAATGTAAAAAAGTGAGTAATTTGGTAGATATTATTTCTATAAATGCAGTTCTATAGGGAAGCCTTTTTTTCTGTCAGTTATGTATGTTTTGTGGCACATGCCTCTATCACTCATTTCAGAAAGCTGATGAAACCTCTTTGCAGGGATCTTGATGCTGTGGTCGCTCCGTATTAAACAGACCACTGTGCTTTTGCTAAAGTTCTAGTCATGCCTCTGTGAATTCTCTGTCTTTGCAGAGATCTGTACAGTATATTAGATGCAATATATAGTGCAATTTTTCATGCAAGTGGCACTGACACAGGAACTGTGCCTTTTCCTGCTGTTTTGTGCTCAATGCGGTTCTGAATATCTGTAACTCCACTGGTGTAAGTAAAGGGAATTGCTTTGTGATATTTTATTGTTCCATTTGATTTTTGTACTATTATTTGCTTCTACTGTACTTTTTTTGTTCTTTTCCTAGAAATTCCAATGACTGTTATAGATATATAAGGGGGTTTATTTGTCTTCACCTGCTGCTTTTGCTTTTCCTTTTCCACATACTGAGCAATACTGCTTATTAAATATCAAAAATAGACTTGCTGAATACTAGTGAAAATATTAAATTGCCGGTTCTGTAAATATATCTTTTGGTTTGTTTCTGCTTGAGGGACTGAAAATTTACTAGAGCAGTATATATAAGCACTGATTTTCAAAATGTTATGGAAAATACAATATCAGCTAGTTTAGATACTGCTATGAATTGCATGTTTTATATATTAGGGCATCTACTGTGGATGGTGTGAGAAAGGTGGGATTGTTGTGTGATTCTTCAATGGAACGGAAGATTTTGTGTCTGATCAGCAATTTTATTTTTGTTTTTGGCTTTTCTGTTTATTCTTATTTATGGAGAACTGCTAATGTATGTGAAAATCCTTGTCTTTTCTGAAATAAAAAAGCAAATGTAAACTGCAGCACATTCAGATTATATAGGTTCAAATGGCTGAGATCTCGTGTTTTAGAAATGATTTTATTTTCTTCCATTTAACCTCAAGCTGTTCTTTGGATCATCTCAAAACATGCTGGAGAACATCATCAACAAGTTTGAGACAAACTAGAAAAATGCAAAACAAGTGTGTGTGTATGCATGTGTGTGTGTGTGCATATATATATATATAAGAGGTGTAACGGTGCGCGTATAGTGTACCGAACGGTTCAAGGTTAAATTCCAAATGGAAGTGATCATTCCTATCCCTTTGGAGTGGGGACTTTGGAGTGAGCAGGGCACGTGCGTGCCATTATGTAGTCGTTTGGAATGCACTTGGCAAAGGGAGCGATGTAATTTCCTCATTATCTTCAGCTGGGATGTTCCCGTAACAACGTAGCACGGTGTCCGTCAGCAGATTCGCTGATGGACACCGGCAAAAAAAAATATACATTTTATATTTTTAAAAGTTGTATATATATTAATTTTTATATATTATATAGCACATTTTAAAAACTTTTTAAAATATAAAATGTATGTTTATTTGCAACAGTTATGCTAACAACAATAAAAAGACAATTATGACAATAAAACCGTGACATCTGCTGATGGACACCGTGCTGGAAATTACATCGCTCCCTTTGCCAAGTGCATTCCAAACGACTACATAATGGCACGCACATGCCCTGCTCACTCCAAATTCCCCACTCCAAGGGGATAGGAATGATCACTTCCATTTGGAATTTGGCCGTGAACTGTTCTGTACACGATACGCATACCGTTACACCCCATATATATATATATATGAGGAGTCTTTAATAACTGTCACAGGCACAAGGACGAACTATAGTTTGGTTTATT